AACTTATATCCGGAAAAGCAGGCAATTTTGAATGCTTATGTGACCTCTATTTTAATTTACGGCAATGAAACTTTCACTTGGCAGCCCGTTCCCATCCCTTTGGATAGCTCCGGCACCGACATCGGCTTAGCTATAGGAGACACATTGGTTGTTCTGGGTAGATTCGGATACCCGTAATGTGTTTACCCCCCCCCCCATTCACTGGGCTACGCTTACCTTCTTCAACTGTTGGGATGAAAATTACCACGATTGAGCGTAGACAGAGGAATCCTCGACGGAAAAGATTGAGCGTAGACAGAGGAATCCTCGGCGGAAAACCGTATTTGATCGCTGGGCTGAGGGGGTCGCTTTTGGAGTGGAAAGAAGTGAGTTTTTGATTGCTTACTTTCCTGCTCTACTCCAGGACGAGTTCTACCGGTACTTCTGCCGACAGTATGGATTTCAACCATCCCGTGTTGGACTTACCTGAGGTCAACGTTGTCTTCCAGTCCCCACGCTCGTTCTTTGGAATACCGTCTAGTGCTAGGCCAAAGGCATGAAAGCAATTACCTGGAGTCGTAGTATCCTATCAAAAGCGCAATTACCGCCGAAAGTGTTCAAATGAAGTACGCAGCCACGCCCTCCATACCTCCGGGATATGGGAGCGAGGCGGTATATTCAGAGCGAAAGATGCAGAAGAATTCATTCAGGGAACAAGAACTGCGATCTCATTTGTCAGCGTGAAGGCAGTGCTGAACACGTCACTAGCTGCAGCATGCGTTCTGTTGGGATGGACATATAGCCAACACGCACAGACGGGCAGTACTCTTGGGAACACAATCACGTCAGTGTGTTTCGTTATCGGAGCATGCCATGGTGCTTATTTCGGTGAGCGATTTATAAAGACAGTAGATTCATCAGAAGTCATTTACTTCCAAAGACAGATTGCTGTTTTCAGGGGTGGCCTATGGAGGCACGGGTCACTCGGCTTAGCCTATTCACCCTGTTACCTTCACGCATTTATTGGGGATATTGTGGTGGCCACTGCTCGGGCAGGTCGATTGGTGTATGGCAGCGATTAATTCGCAGAAAATATTGCTTGAATTGGATGGCGACGATTATTATTTCACTGAGGCTTCAGTTCAGGCCACCGTGGCCCTCTGACACGCGGGGGGCTTCAGGTCATTGCAAACTTCGTCGGGTCACATTTTCAACATATTAGATGCCATTATCTTAAGCCTTCTTCCGCAGTTATCTGTGACCTTAGTCCCGCGCGAACCTCGTTCATACTCGCGACTCGGATCCACCTGCGAATCATGCACTTGTAGCCGACCAAGCTACGCCAGTAATAGCTTGCTCGCCTTCATTGCATTCAGACATAGAACTTCATCAAATCGTTGCTGCAGTCCAACGACCAGTACTGGAGCGCGTTAGAGTGGCAGTCTTCCGAATCGCTGATGTCGCAAAGTATGAACGTAGCCTTGGATCTTGGGACCGTGAGCCAGTTCTGACTGTTCCTTTTCGGGTCCTTGAACTTTTTTTACTGGAGGCGCAAAGGTAAGGCGTGGGCTCAACTGTAGATGCCGAAACTTTGGCGTACCTCGAACGACGAGCACCAAAATGCCTTCCCAGCCCGGAATCGATTACGCCCACGCACTCCCACGCCCAACAATTTGATGCATGGCTCTACTGTTACCGCTGTATCTATTATCCATGGTTAATTGACTGGAAAGCGTTTGTTTCGGAGATAGGTAGTAATGGAGTAAACGGAGCGGATCGTCCAGATATTTATCAAAATTGAAAATAAAAACATCACAAAGCAAGAAATAAATTGAGCATCCTATGGAAACACCGGCTTTTGTTCCACTTTTCAAGATGAGGTCCATTTTGGTGTTCGCTTTTCGGCGAATGCACTCATACCTTCCTTACGGTCTTTCTGAAAAGGACCAAGTTATCTGAGCTTACCCAGAAATGACAGCAAAACTAGCTCACAGTTGCGAAAGTGGTGTGGAATAGTCGCCGTTCGATTCTGAGGCCTTCTCTCAGGGTTGTTTCGTAGGCGGCGTTGACAGCTTCCTGAACTGGATATTTTAGTAACGACAATTTTATTAATTGTAATTGTGTAATATTCACGGTATCTGTGTAATTGCCATTGTGATTATATTTTTCTGTTTCCCCGTCTTTAGATCAAGCGTACTACTGAACTGAAGACAAATGCGACATAACATCTGAGTGCCTCTCCGTGCCCCGCCCGCGCTGCCACACGGCCAGCCACACGCCTAACCAAAGCCAAACGCGCTGCTCGTCTGCTTCCTCTCACTTCTAAGGGTTCCCTTCCGCTGAAGACTACGGTATCGTCGCTGCACCTTGAGGAATGTGCGAAGTAAGAGACAGCACTTAGGTACGACTACCCTACAGCCCCGTTCCCATGCATTTTCGAGCGCAGGAAGTGGTACGCTACTACAATCAAGGACCCGTTCGCTTAGCACAGGGCAGGGACCATCCTCTCAGATGAGTGTACCGTTTGTCTTGCTGGAAAGAAGCCCTCCGGGCCCAGCCGTAAGTAGAGTTGTAAGTAGAGTACC